CTCTTCCTTTAGACTCTGATGCCTGCATAGGCTGCTCTCTACCAGCTGGGCCAGGACAGCCAAGGCTTTTGGTTCTCCTTCCTGGGAGCGGGTGGGGGGGGTGGAGGGTGGGGCATCTACGGGATTTCCTGTAGTTTCTGTGTATATGCTAAATCCTTTTTCATTTGTTTGAAATATATTGTGGCAGCACGGATTGTTGTTTTATTTTAATTCATTAATCAGTTAACGTGCATGATGTGTGGATGAGTGACAAGTGCCATTGCACTCGGGGGACTTGTGGAGGGGGAGTCTAGGGATCGAACTCAGCCTTGAGCAGCAAGGGCTGTGAACTGCTGAACAGTCTCCCCACTTCCCCCCTCCCCTCTAAAAATGTTTAAATTTTTAAATTTATTTATGCTTCATGCGTTTTGCCTGCATGTGTGTACCACATATGCATGCTAGGTGCTCCTTGAAGTCACAAGAGGGCGCTGGGTCTCCTGGACTGGGAGTTCCAGGTTGTGTGTTCAGCCATGTGGGAGCCAAGAATTGAAACCAGGTCCTCTGAAAAGCAGCAAGTGCTCTGCATGGCTGAGTCATCTCACCATTCCAACCCCTCCTTTTATTTTTTATTTTTTTATTTTTTCAGAGGCAGGGTCTTACAATGGAGGTCTGGCTGGTAGCTTGGCACTTGTTATGTAGTCCAGTTGGTCTTCAACTCTTGGAAATCCTCCTGCCTTAGCCTTCCAAGTGCAGGGATTGCAAGTGTGACCATCATGTCACACTGGAAGAATTCGTGGTAGTTTAGAACTGTCTGTGGTAAGCCAAGTAATACCTGCTCTCAAAGATGCTGCGTAATCTTAGGTTCTGATGTTTGTAATGTGCTTTCCAGTCTATTTCCATTGTTCAGACCAGGTAAATTTTCAAAAGCCCCGAAGGTTGCCTGTTAGTAACAAATTACTGCAAGTGTAGTGGCTGAAAACAGCAGGCCGTACTTTCCACACCAGACGGCAGAAGCCACTACAGATCTCAGACTCTGTCTCCTGGAGTCTGATCCTTGCATTCCTTGGCATAGAGCTCTTCTTCTGCCTTCAACACTCAGCATGCTACCCCAAACCTCTCAGCTATACCCTGCTTCCCTCAGCTAAGTCCTCAGACTTGCACCCTCCCCCTGCCTCTTGCAAGGACTCTGGAACTATTTAAGTCATATTCAGATAATGCAGAGTGGCCATATCTTGAGAGTATCAATTGCACACATTCAAAGTCCTCTTGGCCAATCCTTGGAATCACACTGTGGACATTGATCTTTGGAGCTGGGTATCATGGTGTACTGTGGTCACAGAGGATTGCTTAAGTCTGGGAGGGACATGCGAGCCAGCTAAGGCATCAGGGGGATACCTTGTCTCATAAAGGGGAGTGTAATGTATTCTCTTTGCATTCTTTGTCTTATGAAAGGCTACACTACTGCAGATGCATGGTGTTTTTATTTGTGAGTTCATTACAGTAAGATGATATTTATTTGATTTAACAGCTTATTTCTCAGTGTGTGTGTGTGTGTGTGTGTGTGTGTGTGTGTGTACACCCAAACATGTATGTACAGTTTCCAGGACTGTAGGAGTCCTCTCTTTCCCATGTGTGAGTCTTGACGATTGAGCTCTGGTTGTCCTGCTTGGCAGCAGTCACCCTTGCTTGCTGAGTCATGATCTTGTTGACCTGGATTTAGATTTTTAAATAGTCTGAAAAAAAAATCAAAGGAAGAAAAATACTTCATGATACATGAGAATTCATGAATGTAGACTCCACAGTCTGAAGTGAAAGTGTTGATGGTCACGGTGGTTATGTGCATGTCATCTTAGTACTTGGGAAGCCAAGGCAAGACAATCCTGATTTTGAGACTAGCCTGAGCTACCTGACCTTACCTACACCATTCTAAAATCCTCCCAACAAAAAATGAAGCAAAATCTAAACCAACAACAGCAAAACTCCCAAACAAAACAAAAACTCCAAAACTTCAGCCAAATAAAACTAAAAGGTGGGGGCTGGTGTCAGCAAAGCTTGCACATCCTGTTTGTACTGTGTGTCTCTGCACTGTGTACAGTATCAGATCGGAATGATTGGGGCAGGGCAGTCATCTGCACCACCAGGTTAAGTAACAGAAACAGTTCCCAACTTCTTTTCCATCATCTGCCCCATCTTTAAGTCTTTCACTTACTTTTTTCAGTTTAATAGTTAAGAATATTTAACATTTAACATTCTTAAGTTTTAAAAATTCCATTAGTTTGGAAAGGTTCTTTAAAGCCGAGTTTGTATACATGTATACCACCCAGTGCGCCTGTGGGAGAAGAGGACAGCTTTTGGGGACTGCTTCCAGCTTTCCACCATGCTGAGGGTGTGTCTCCTGTTTCTGTTGCTGAGCCGTGTAGTCCATGCCATGTGGCCTGAGTACTTCCAGCTGGTTCTGTCTTCTGCCTGAGGAGTATTCAGAGAACAGCCGATGCCACTGCATTTGGCATTTTACAGGGTTCCGGGAGCAGACTTGAGTATCCAGGCTTAGGTGTTGAGTGCTTTTCCCTGCTGAACCACAGTCCTCGCCCAGAAGGACTTTTTTATGTTGAATGAAATGCAGGTTGGTGGTCTTATCCCATGAGTTCACCTGAATTAGTGAGCAAGCCTCCTGAACTTGGTGTTAGCAGAGGGGGTGAGAAATCTGTGTTACCATGGGCACAGGCTGTGGTGTCCAGCTGTTGGTCAAACTCTAGTGTAGATACTGCTGTAAGGGCATTGTTACCATCAGTTGATTAAGTGAATCAGACTACCCTCCACTGTGTGTGTGGGAAGCCTTCACATCCTCTGAAGTTTCCCAAGGAAAGGGGTGTTCTGCTTAGTTTCCAGTGTGCTGGGCCCTACAGATTTCTGACAGATCAGTCACAGTTGTATGTGCCAGATCTTTAAAACCTCTCTTGTCTGAGAGCCTCATTTTCTTTGATAAATAGATATAGATGCACATATTTTCTGTTGGGTCTGTTTCTGCTAGACCCTGGCTGTTGCAGTTAGCTACTCTGGTGTGTGTGTGTGTGTGTGTGTGTGTGTGTGTGTGTGTGTGTGTGTGTGTGTGTGCTGCTGTCTGTGCCCCACACCAAGCCCAGCAATGATGCTAAGCCAGGAAGAGGGGAGGCCCTTCCTCACACCCACCTTAGGCTTCTGCTCTTACTGACTGTGAAAGGAAATGTGCTGTGTTTGGATGTTACAATGTTGGAAATAAGATCACTTGTAAAGGTGCAGAGGACTTTTTCTCAGTTCACCATTGTTTGAAGTTATGAGCTGACTGAGGGAGTGATGGAACAGATGTGACAAGGGAAATGGAACTCAGGGAATGCTTTCGGTGTTGCCTGTGTGCTAGCCACGGTGGTGGAGGCCACAAGGTCCCTGTCACCAGAAACTGGTTCTGTAGTCCTACAGATAATTTCTTTTGTTATCATGGTTTGGCTCTTTGGCCAAGATTCCAAAAAGAAAATGTTTTCGATAAAAATACAAATAGAGTATTTAAAAACACTAGTTAGCAGTTTCGTTTGTATCTCTACATATGTAAATATCTTTAAAAAAAAAACAAATGAGTGCATTTAAAGCATGTTTAGTATTGCTTAACACAAACGATGATACATATTAGCAGAAAAATCCACGTGGTAATTTATATATTTCTAAACAGATTTTACCAGGCCTTCCAGTAATATGATACTAGAAAAAATCTAGTTTTGAATTTTGATTTTTCCAAACTGGGCATTGCACTCCCACATTACTCCAGGAGATGGATTGACTAATGGTGCTCTACCCTGCTCTACAGACCTCTCTTCTACCCCTTCTCTGAAACCTGACTAAGCTAGATATGTCTTCCCTAACCTGGGTTAATTATTAGCCCTTTGTGGTTTGCCATTTATTTGTTGTTGTATTTCTAAAGTAATTGTGGTTTTGAGTTTTATAATTCCTAAGGTGTGCCAGCTCTTCTGATGGTGCTTGACAAACCTATAAATAAAATGGCTGAAATGTTATGTGATTTCTTCTTGCTTTCATGCCATTTCATTTTAAATAGCTGAGCTCTTCTACCCTATTTTCATCTGGGTGACTTTAACGGTCTTTTGTCCCTCTATATTTGAACATACTCGATGTTGGCACAATTAACATCAACAGTAGTTCTGAAAACAATTTCTGAGTATTCTCCAGAGCTCAGGGTACCTGGAGGTAAGAACATAACAACACTTACTTGCAAAAATTTCTTCTTGCTCCTGGAGAGACAGATAGGGGAACAGATTTTAGTGCAAGAACAGAAACAATAGCTTCACATTCAGTTAACACAGCTTGACAGGGGAGGGAGGATTGGCTGAGCCTTTTGGGGAGTGGGAGGACAGAGGGGGCTGCAGGCCAACTGGGTTGTGAAGGAAAAGAGAAATAATTTTTATGTGAACAGATCAGAATTGTGCATTGAAGTGTGTTGCTGTCTAGTTTTATATGTGCTGGTCTTGCCCAAGTGTAAGTCTTGTAATCCAGATGCCCTCCAAGACTCCGTGATTGCTCTCTGGATTATTTTCGGTCTTTTTAAAAAGGCTTAATCCAGGGTTACATTAAATTAATTAAAACAATAATATCCAGGGAAGGTTGTGCATTTCAGTCTGCTTTCTGTGTCTGTGGGTTTCACATTCATGGGTTCAACCACCTGGTTCAAATATTGCTTCGTGAGCACAGATACTTTTTTTGTCTCTAATTAATCCCCTGAGAATTTGGGTAATGTTGCATAGCCTTGATACTGCTTAGCTAGTCTGAGTCATCCAGAGGTGGTTTGATGCTTAAAGGAGGTTGTCAGAAGTTATGCAAATATGACAACTTTTTATATGCAACTTGAATTTGGTGTATGTGGCAGGTCCTGAGACCAACACCCTGGAGAGCCTGAGGAACTCCTTCAATCATGTGAACATTACTAAGATGTAAACAGCTGGACAGTGTATAATTGAACCTCTCCCATCTCTCCATAGCTGGTCAGTCTGCTGCTCATTGGGATTGCTGCGTGGGGCATCGGCTTTGGACTGATCTCCAGTCTCCGGGTGGTGGGTGTGGTCATTGCTGTGGGCATCTTCCTGTTCCTGATTGCACTGGTGGGACTGATTGGCGCTGTAAAACATCATCAGGTGTTGCTATTTTTTGTATCCTTTTTAAAAAAAAAAAAAAAAAATCAGGGTTGTTACCTCATCAGGCGAAGTTCTCACTCATTATCGATTATGTTTCAGTGGTTGCTGCTAACTTAATGCTATTATTATGGAATTCATTGCCAGGAAGCAACCCTTAGAAAGACAATGTAAGAATAACTGTAAGGAAAAAGCCGTATGTTTAGTTATCCCCAACCCTTCCTTGTGACATCTCAGTGTTCTACACATTGGGCATAATTCTGATTTTCTTTTACAAACTCAGAATTAAAATCATTTCGTTACTTCTAGGCCTTCCTAACACATTAATCTTTGGCTACAAATTTAAGTTTAGTTTTGAGAGAGCTTATACATTTGTCTAGATCTGTTTTTTTATTTTACAGGTTTCTGAACTTGTATTTCACTTTGGATGTGAGCTTTTCAAAATCGAAACATCTCTCTCTCTTTCATTTTTTGACAGAGTCTCATTTTGAGACAGACCAGGCTGACCTCAAGCTTGGGCAGTCCTCCTGTCTCTGCTCCTTAGTCCAGGGGATTACAAGTGTCACCTACCATGCCTGCTGTATATAATTATTTATATTTTTCTAAATGAATTTTTAGTTATAGTGTATTAGCAAAATAATACAGTGTATCACTTTGAATTTAGGTAACATTGTTCTAGTTTCTAGGTGAATTACCTAGAGTATACTGCCAACACTCCTGTTTTATGTTCTTTCAGAACATTTGCAATGTTTCTAGCAGCAGGTAAAGGCACCTGTTGCCAAATCTAAGCACCAGAGTTCAATGCCCAGAACCCACATGGTGGTAGGACAGCTGACTCCTGCATGGCACATGCAGGTATACTCATATGTGTATACTCCCATCCCTGCAACAATCACACATATAATGAATACATAAGTGTAATAAATAGAATAGTCCTTAACCTGTAACTTTCAGTATATGATTATTCTCCTCCTTGTATTCATTGTTCAGTTTTCGGTGTCTTGTGCTTGTTTAGCTCTGAATCAGGACCAACAGGTAAGTAAGGATTTTTCTTTTTTCTTTTTGTTTTGAGACAGGGTCTCACTGTGTAGCTCCGGCTGTCCTAGATCTCTGTAGACCAGGCTGGCCTCAGACTGAGAGAGATTGCCTGCCTCTGCCTCCCGAGTGCTGGTATCAAAGGCATGCATCATTGCTCCCAGCTGAGTGTGGAGTTTTTTTTTTTTTTTTTTTTTTTTTTACTTTATTATGCAGCATGGAATAACCATGAAAAAGATGGGAGGGGTGACTGAGAATAAATATTTCTTCTTGCCAAGAATGCCATTTTAGCCCACTACCTAAATTTCTTGCTCCTGAGTGGTTCTTGGTAATAAGTACAGGGGAAGTGCCATCAAGTCTTGGTAATTTGTATCCATAAGTAAGACTTCACTCTCCCTGAGTGAAAACTGCTGCTGTTAAAAGATGTCTCTTCTTTCTCCACTGCAGAGCAGTGCTCCAAAGTGTCTGTGGTTTCCTTGTATCACTCTTAAAAACTCTTAATTTGTAGAGAAAAAGTGGGTTTCTGTCTTGGAGCAACTGAAACTTTGTATTGTTACACTTAGAGAATTATGCCTTTGAAGCATGTACTGCTTTTAAGTTGTTTGTAAAAACCCAGGACTTTTTCTTTTGTAGGATAGACAGAAATACTGCCCCCCCTCTCTCTCTTTCAGAACAAGGGATGTGCCTTTGAAAAGTTGTAATAATTTTATAGAGACAATTTCATGTACACTCCACAGCTAACTGTAGGACAATACACTTTCTCTCTTTCTTTTTTTGGTGGTTGTTTTTCAAGACAGGGTTTCTCTGTGTAGCAGTCCTGACTGTCCTGGAACTCACTTTGTAGACCAAGCTGGCCTTGATCTCACTGAGATCTGCCTGCCTCCCTCCCCAGTTCTGGGATTAAAGGCCTGTACCACCACTGCCCTGCTGGGATGATAAGTTTTAATGTATCTATGACCTGCGTTTGCTAGGGTCAGCTGCTAGAGGTTGGTTGGAACAATACAGCAAGTGCTCGAAATGACCTCCAGAGGAACTTGAACTGCTGTGGCTTCCGAAGTTACAACCCAAATGACACCTGTCTGGCTGTAAGTCCAAACTCTAAAAGCTTTTTTTTTTCTTGAATGTGTTACATACAGTTCAATAATAATTAGGGAAGAAGTGGCCTTTCTGATGATGAATTATATTTTCAAAATTGTTTGACATATGCTCCTATTATATTTTGTATACATACACACATTTTCCCATTCCATGTCCAGTGAGACACACTGTGTTTATTTTCTTTCCTGTAATTCTTTCTCATTCAGCTCTTTTCTATAGCAAGTTGTTATTGTGGTTTAATAAGGATCAGGAAAAACAAACAGGCTGAATAGATGTTTATTCAGGGAGAAATAACTTACAACAGAGATAGCAGGTTCCTGGTCCCAAGGATGCCTCTGGATGCTCTTCTGTATCTGTGCGCAGGGGAGGTCCCTTCCCCAGACTAGTTCCCTCAGGTAACATCTGCCCCTGTCCCTACCCCCAATGGGCATGGTCGGTGCCACAAGTGTGGACAAAGTGAATATCTCACTACAAGTTATGATCAGTCTCAGAGATTTCTATCTATGCAGTTTTTTAGGGAGGTAGTAAAAGAAAGGTCTATATTAAATTGACTCTCTTAACGAGCCCATCACCTCCAAGGTAGAAGGCACATAAAGCTACCCTCCTGTCTTTCCCTTCTGCATCACTCAAGGCTTGGTGTCCTCCCCCCTTGCTCAGTGGTTGTTTGTAGACTCATTATTCTTGTAGTATTGTCCTGTTTGCTTGGTAGCTGCCAGCTGGTGACTATTGTTGTGAAGGGACACCATGACTATGACCACTCTTATTGGAGAAAGCATTTAGTTGGAGGCTTCCTTACCGTTTCATAGGTTTATTTCATTATCATCATGGAGGGGAACAATGTACAGGCATGGTGCTGGGAAAGTAGTGTGTCCATATATATATATAGAGAGATAACTGGTTTATCGAGGGCTTTTGAGACCTCAAAACCTACCCCCAATGATACACTTCTTCCAACAAAAGCCATACCTCCTAATCCTTGTAATCCAAATCCTTTCAAACAGTTCCACTCCCTGGAGATTAAGAGTTCAAATATATGAGCCTATGGGGGACATTCTTATGCAAATTGCCACAGCGGGGTGTCTTACAATGCATGCATGTCATCATGAGATAAAGGATAAAGGATAAAGTCTTACACAGTGCAGTCTAGATACCTACCCATCGTATTGTATTTATAGTTCCTAGATAGGGATGGATACTACAGAGCATGTACAGGAAATGAACATCTTGGAAATTTACACACAATTTAAAATCCATACTCAAATTGGATGTAGCACCCTAGATCTGAATTTTGTTTGTGTGTAGTTTTAGTTTCTAACGTATTTATTTATTTTTTAAATAAATATACACTGAAGTAACGGGTCTTTTCTTTTATTGATACAGAGCTGTAATAAAAATGGACACAAGTGCTTACCATGTGCCCCCATAATCGAAGCGTATGCTGGAGAGGTTTTGAGATTCGTTGGTGGCATTGGTCTCTTCTTCAGTTTTACAGAGGTTTGTCTTTCTCCTTTGTCACAGGGAGTTCTGTTTTTATGTCAAGAAGACACAGCATTGCACTTCAGTGTAAAGGCTAATATTAAAAAGCTCTTTTTTCCCTGATATTGCTCAGTGTGATGGGAACAGCCTAGCTTAGAGTAGGAAGATCTGACAGGTCTAGCATGAGCTTTAGGATGGGGCACTGTTCTTGTTCTGTTTACCCTGAGTAAATTGTAATGAATGAAGAGATTAGTCTGGGCTGTCTTCATTTTTCTAGACTTATATGGCAAATTATAGTTTAATTTTTTTCATAAGTAGAACATTACTTAATATATGTTATATTTAGCATATGTTATTACTATGATACACATATGCATATATACCCACAAAAATTTGTTTCTAAGAATTGTCCCTGTTGTTGGACAGTGGTGGTGCATGCCTTTATCACAGTACTCAGAAGGCAGAGGCAGGCAGATCTCTGAGTTGGTCTATAGAGTGAGTTCCAGGACAGCCAGGGCTATACAGAGAAACCCTGCCTCTGAAAAATTAAATAAATAAATAAATAAATAAATAAATAAATAAATAAAATGCCCCTGTAACTGAAGAAAGCTGGGAGTGTGAGACGTGAGGTGATCTTTTCCAGAGAAGAGCTCACTAGCTGGTTATCTAATACCTAATGGACTGCCCTGAAAACATACATAGAATAACGTTATATGGACAGAGAAGATTATTTTTAGGAATATGCATATATATTTATGCTTGCAATAATAACTACTGAAAGAAGAGACCATTAATTTGAAGGAGAATGGCAAGGGATATATGGAAGAATTTGGAGAGAAGAAAGGAAGGGAGAAATGTACTTATAATCTCAAAAGTAAAAAAATATATATATAAAAATTGTACTTTCAACTTAAAAAAAAATTGCCTCTGAAACTTAAAGGATTAAAAAGTGACAAAAAAGGGCACCTTTGGCAGGCCCCGCCAAGGTGTGCCACTGAGAAATTACACCAATCAACAGATCTTATGCAAGAGATTTATTGGGGGAGGGGGAGGGGAGAGCAAAAGCATGAAAGGCCATCTCAGAGTGGGGCCACGAGAGAGGCAGGCAATGAGACAGACAGACAGACAGACAGACAGACAGACAGAGAGAACAGGCAAGAGAGGAGCAAGAGGGAGCTAGAGAGGGGCTGTGATGGACAAACACTTTTAAGGAGTGTGTGTGAGTGGTTTAGCTGGTGGAAATGCGTTGCAGCTGGTGGCTGGCCCTTTCCAGCAGGTGATGATGTCACCAGCAGGTGATGATGATGTCACTGCCAGTGCAAAGGCCGAGGCAGGCTGGTGAGGAGGAACAGAAGCTGTCTCCCATTTTCCTCTGTTACTACTTTGATGGCTTTAGCATTCCTTTTTAACAGACAAATTCTACGTGCAGTATTTTATTTCATGGAAACAATTATATAACAACACAAAATGAATACACAAGGCTTATCTACAAGTAACTTTTAAAGGTTTTTTTTTTTTTTTTTAATTACATACACGAATGTGTATCTACGTGCAGGTAAATGCACTCGGGTGTGGATGTCAGTGGAGGCCAGAAAAGGGTGTCAGAATGCCTGGATGTGGAGGTATACATGGTTGTGAGCCACTAGATGTGGGAAGCAAACTCCAGTCTTCTGCAAGAGTAGCATGTACTTACTCTCTTAACTGCTGAGCCGTTTCTCTGGCCCTCGGCATATTTATTTCTGATAAATCTTTGGGCCCCCCTTTGCTTTTTGACAGTATGCTGGATCAGTTGAGATATGTGTCACACAGGAAGTGTCGGGGCTAAGTGCACCCACTTGCTCATTGTGTGCCGTGGGGCAAGTTATTTAATCTTACTGTGTGTCTCGCCCTCCGAGGAGTATCACAACAACAGAGAGCCAGTGCATGGAAAATGGGTGCTGTGAGCAGTACTTGGTGCATGAGGGGTAACTAGTGTTTTGTAGCCATTGATGAAGTATATTAGTGTATATCATATTATGCCATATTAGAAAGAGACAGTATGCCATTATTCTTTGAAAATGAGCTGTCCACATCACATATCCATTTTAAACAGATGGCAGAAGAATATGGATCAGATAATTCTTCTAACAGAGTTTGTCTGTATAGCTAGCTACAGAAGCGGAGCAGGCTGCTTAGAGGAGCAACATATGTCCTTACAAAACTGCAAAAAAAAAAAAAAAAAAAAAAAAAAAATCTGTGTTTTATATGGTTAGAATTTAGCCATGCGTGGGATTGCTTAATCTGTTGACCATTTAGTTTTTGTTTTAAAAATTATGTTTATTTATTATGTGTGTGTGGGGGGGGGACATGCTTGTGCCACAGTGGGTGTGTCAGGGTCACAAGGACAGTCCTCTGGAGTCGGTTCTTTCCTTCTACCATATAGTTTTTGAAGAGTGAACTCAGGTTATCAGGCTTTGCCAAAAAGTGTCCCCACCTAAAGCCACCTCTTAGAAAAGCATAATTAATTAATTGGGAGACAAAGTTTCTCTGTGTAGACCTGGCTGTCCTAGAACTTGCTCTGTAGACCAGGCTGGCCTGGAGCTCAGAGATCCTCTTGCCTTTGCCTCCTGAGTGCTGGCATTGACATTGTGAGCCACCATAGCCACCTGGCGTACATTTCTTTAATTACCTGGGTGTGGGTGCACTTGTGCCGTGACACACGTGTAGAGCTCAGAGGACAACTTTTGGGAGTCTGTTCTATCTTTTCACTGTGTGGATCTTGGGAATCAAAGTCGAGGGACTCAGGTCATGAGGCTCGGTAGCAAGTGCCTTTACCCACTGTGCCATCTTGTCAGCCCAACCACTTGATTTCTTTTTAATGTGTAAATATTTACACAGTTGCCTCCTGTATGTGGAATGTCATTGCTTTGCTAGGTATAAAATACAACATAGTATGGGAAGAGTCGAGAGTTCTTGATAAGCTGGGCTTGGTGGCACACACCTTTACTCATATCACTTGGGAACCAGAGGAAGGTGGATCTCTCTGAGTTCCAGGCTAGCCTGGTCTATCTACATAGTGAGAGCCTGTCCACAGAAACAGAAACAAAAACAAACAAATGAAATTCTGTCTTCTGAGAAGAATCTACCATCAACTTTTGATTTAATAACTAACTCTAGATATTTGTGTTATTAAAAATGTTTGACAGGGCTGGAGAGAAGCGCCTCAGTGGTTAGTAATGTTTGCTGCGTAACGCAGTTACCATAGGAGATAGAGATTTAGGTTCACAAACAGTTTGGTTCCCAGCACCCAGGTCAAGTGGCTTATAGTCACTGTAACTCAAACTTCAGGGGCCTCTGTGGCCTCTGGACTCTTGGGGGACACCCCTGCACATGTGCACATACACATATAATTAAGAACAATAAAAATAAATGTAAAAAAAACACACAGAGTTCACACTTGGCTATTTATCAAAATGGAAAAGTCAAACTTGCTATTCCAGCTTCAAATCCAGCCACCAGTGTGGAACATGCAGTACCTCTGCCTTCTTGTCTCGTTGTCACCTTATCTCTATCCATCTTAGCTCTCTCTTCTCAGGGCTGTGCTGTGTGTACCTTTGAGCCCACCTGGAAGATACCTCCCTAGCATAATCAGATCATACCTTTACCTCAGAAAGTAACATTTGCAGGTTCCACTATACATACAGTCTACCAAAGTGCTTATATCTGTGTTATTAGGGCCTGTCCTTTAATTTGCCTGAAGTCTCTTCTCTTTGAACAAAAGGCATGCAAAGGTAATTCCGAAATTGCAGTTATTCTCTTGATTAACTAAGTCTGCCCAGCACTTACTTTTTCTTCTTTTAATTCCAGATTCTGGGTGTTTGGCTGACCTACAGATACAGGAATCAGAAAGACCCTCGCGCCAACCCAAGCGCTTTCCTTTGAGGAGGAAACAAAGAAAAGTTCTCCCATCTTGCTCATTTTCTCTAATCTTAAACTAATTTCTTTATTTGACAGGAAACAGTATCTGAAAACGACACTATCAACAGTGGAACTAAATATGTTCACTCTTACATTTCTCTAAGTGGTTTTTTGTTGTTGTTGACATTGCTGAGAAAGCAGTTGAAATTTATGGTGTTCACTGGCCCTCAGTGGTCCCTGTAATCTACTGTTCTTGGTGTCTGGCACTGTTTACTGTGGCCTTTCTTAGCCTATTTATGTGCTGTAAAACTGTGTCTGGCACCCCTGGGGAAATGACATGTGAACCCCAATCTCCACCTCACCAGGTAGTTGTATGGAGTTCTGTGCCGTTCGGGTGGCTCCCATCGAAGACACTTGAAGTTCATGAAACCAGGAAGCAAGAGTCTGTAATGTTCAGTCATTAGGAGAAATCTAAGTTCCCTCCACTTTATGTATTTTTAGGAAAGCTACATTGTAGTGAAAAGTGTTAGCATACAAGTGATCATTTAGTTCTAGTAGTCTCTCATGATGACTTCTGTGTATTCTAGAAATAGCTGTGTCTTTAGGAACCTAAGTTTAGCTTCTGACTTTTATAGTCAAGGGTAAAGGAGGTACCATTTGGGGAATGTTCTGGTGTTTGACAGTTATCTTCAGCTTTCAAAATGGGATGAGCTAGAAGAAGATTGTATATATCTACATAATTAACATTCTTCTTTTTTTAATAATTTGAAGTTCAAAACACTGTATTAGTAAGCAACGTGCAATCAATATGTTGGCCATGCAACAAAAAGATATTTGATTTTCTTAAAAAATAACTTTTTATTGACATTTCTTGGTCTTGTGATAGTGAGTTGTCAAATCCAGACAGACATATTTAAATGTGCTACTTCCCATAAGCTGAGAGAGAAATGGTGTTTGTGGCTCTGTATGTTACATTAAAAATTAAAAGCTGGAAACCTTTGTTTGTGTATGGGTGTTTGAATCAAAAAAAGGTCCTGGGAGCATTGATAAACTAAGGTAAGTCAGCATCTTTTCTTCAGCTCTTTGGCCTTCTCTTGTACACCAAAATAGTGTTTAATCAAGCCTTGGAAATAAACTCCCAGCAATGATGTTTATTGGTGGTTATCAAATCCTTTCTTAGGTTAAAAAAAAAAAAGTGTGTGTGCCTGTATGTGTGTGTGTGTGTGTGTGTGTGTGTGTGTCAAAGGACATTTTGTAAGAATTGGTTCTCTCCTTTACCATATGGGTTCTAGGGATCAAACTTGGTCATCAGTCTGGGTGGGAAGCATGGTTACTACTGATCAACCTCCTGGCTCATAAATGCTTTATTAAACTATTTCAGTGGTTAGTATTATCTTGCATGATGAGAAAGGTGCTTTTATTTATTTGGAGAAGTCACTGGTGTTTATATGGGAAGTACACATATTCCCATTAGTGACAGTTAATTTCCTGTCTTGGTGTGGAGTAGCATGTGATGCATCATTGTTGATTTTTTTTTTTTGGGTAAGTTTTAGATTAAGACCACTGGTAAAGGACCGATTCACCGATTCACAGATTAATGGACGTTGGTGTTCCTCTGTGATTCTCTGCTGTTGGCAAGTCTTGTATAGAAATAGAGCCCTGCTATTTCTAGGGTGTCATGCTGAGACTGTGGCCAGTTGGACAGAACTGTGTGTGCTATAAGATGGGATGTGACTCATGAAGGGTGCATGTCGAAGGGAACTGCTTTTTTTTCCAGTCACCCTGTATTTTTTCTGTTTACTCAGCTGTAGTTCAGAATATCTTATAAGGTTTTGGATCTTTAGCGACTCATCTTGGTGTAAATGACTGCAAATGGAAAGGCCATTGCACAAAGAACCATAAACTTGCCTATGACTTGGTTTGTGCTCTGATAGCAATGGCTCTATTGCAGTCAGACAGTTAGAATCAGGGTCTGGGGGCTTGGAGACATGGATCAACTGTCCAGAAAGCACTCTTGCTTTTGGGGAAGACCCTAGTTCTGCCAGCACCCACATTGGTGGCTCACAATGGCCTGTAACTTCATTAGCTGCAGGGGAATCTGAAGCCTCTGGACTCCTTTAGGCGCCTGCATACCCCAACACACACACACACACACACACACACACACACACACACACACACACACACGAAAAATAAACTTATTTTTGCTTTTGTTTTTTAAATCAGGGTCTGTCCCTGATGAATATTTTATTTCAGACTGCTTTTGAATTTCCTATGTAGCCCAGTCTAAGGTGATTCTCCTGATGTGTTACTACACCCCATGGTAAATCACTAGGATTTTGAAATTGCCAGGTTATTTAAGTGAACAATAAACAATAAATAAATGACTAGGCAGTCGGGATGCATATTTTTAAGAGCTGGGGCATTCTCTGTCAAATGAATCTAACTTTTTCTTTGCTTAGGATCTGCAGGTGCTGATCATCTGCTCTCTTCTAGGATGCTGTTGTGTCCCTGTTTGTTTCTGATTGAAGACATACATCCTGCCATTTCATGGTGTCTCAGCCTCTACTGAAAAGCCCTCTGAACAGGTCCATCCCATCCTGTTCCATGAATGGCCCAGGTGTGAGCCTACAGAGCCCCGGCAAGGCTCCTTCTGACTGCAGGATAGGTGCTCCCCTGTGTACAGGCTCCCAAAGCAGTATGGGTGCTCCTCTGTGTACCTGCAGCCACAGAGCATGATGTCTGGAGCGGAGGAGTGCAGATCTCAAGTTACACCAAAAGATCCCTTCCATCCAAACCTTTATCTCTATGAAAAGAAACTCACTGCTTAAGCAGTTCTCTGAGTCCCTGTTTATACGTTTCATTTAGAGAATGTTCCTAACATTTGCTCTGTTAGCCTTGGTGTTAAAGGTGACATTTTAGCTCAGGAAAATAACAGCTAGTGCAAAGGGAAAAGGTTTGGCTGTTATTTCTCACATCCGAGCTCATCATGGGTGAAGTTCATCTGTGAGACTGTGCTCTGTGGGTAGTGTTGTGTTTGCTATGAAAACCAGATCTGCATGCTAAACCTTGAAAATAACAACCAGACAGAACCCTCTAGACAGGGAGAGGAAACCAGGCATTCAGTTCTTAGTTTCTTTGAGCCAAACCCTCCTTGGTGTTCAAAAATATTTGTTTAATCTTGCTTCAGTTTATTCATGACTTTATAAATACATTAAATATGTGAAACTATTTTACCTTTTAGCTGAGAAAATACTGAGACAAGAGCACATTTCCACCAAGTAGTTTATAGAAAAGCATACTGTAACGGTATAGACACGACTGCTTATGCAAGAATGGTCTTATTGGAGATGACATGAGCATTAAAGACCAAATTTACCAGGCTTCTGGTTAGTGAAGGGGATTATGCAAAGAGTGTTTGTGGGAACGAGATGTAGAGAGGATGGGGTTAGTCCTATTTTCATTTTTCTTTTAATTTTTAAAATTAATTTTTAATTATGTGTATGTGTCAGTACAGAGCCCATGGAGGCCAGGAGAGGGTGTTGGATCCCCTGATCTGGAGTCACGCAGTTCTGTGCTGCCTGTGTGGGTGCTGGGAACTGAACTTGGATCTTCAAGAGCAGCGAGTGCTCTTAACCACTGTGCCGTTTCTCCGGCCCCCATGTTTTCCTTGAGTGTCCTGTCATAGCTGGGCACAGTGGTCCTTGAGACAGTTGGAAAGGAGAAAGTCAGGTTCTCCTGCTATGAGTCCAGCCACTTGTCACCACTCTCCTTAAGAAAACTATTTTGGAAATTCATTATCAAACGAGTTGTTGGGGGGGGAGTTGCCTATGCTAAAATGTGTGTCAAAGAATGGGCCTTGCCATCTGTGGAGGGAGAAGCCGCTTTTGCTCACTTTCAGTGCCTCATTCTTTTCCAAGAAGTGAGGTCATAAACTCGGCAAGGGGCCTGAAGCTGATGTGATCACAGCTCCTTAAACTGAATGAAGAGTTCGGGTTTAGCTTAGAACTTTTCCCGTCCTTCCTACTCTGTCTCCTGTTCTCAGTAGTGATAATGGAAAGACCTCAGTAGCTAAGTAAGATTACTGAGTGCAAGGAGAAAACAAAAAGCAAACAAACACCAAACCCTGAACCTATCAGGTGATGGTTTAAGAGAGGCTGGTGCTGCAGCAGGCGGGAGTGGCTAACCCCAGTGTGTGGCCTTAAAGGGGGATGCACGCTATCCACAGTGTTTATTCATTTATTTGTTTTTGAAACTGGATCTTTCTAAGTAGCCCTGGCTACCCTGGAACTCACTGTGTAGTGCAGTCTGGCCTCAAACTCACAGAGATTTGCCTGCTTCTGCCTCCATGTGCTGGATTAAAGATGTGTCCCCAGTTGGTTAAAACCAGTTTCTTTCCACACCTCTCAGACACAGGGTCTAAAGTAAAACTAGAGGAAATATTGTGGATATGTATACACACACACATACACACATATATATAAAATTTTAAACATTATAACAGAGGTCCATGTTGTTAAGTACATTTACCTTTCACAACTATCACCACCTGTCTTTGTTACTTTATTAGTGCTGTGAAGAGATTCCAGGACCAAGGTGACATATAAAGAAAAGCATTTAGTTGGGGCCTTGCTTACAGTTTCAGAGTGTGATTGTGTGACCATGATGGTGGAGAACAAGGCACCAGGTGGGCAGGAATGGTGCAGTAGCTTCAGAATTCACATCCTGTCCTCAAGCCTGAGGCTGAGAGAGATTGGGCCTGGCCTGGGCTTCTGAAATCTCAAAGCCCTCTCCCAGTAACATATCTCCTCCTACAAGGCTGCACCTCCTAACCCTCCCTGAACGCCTCCTCCAACTAGAGACCAACCATTCCAACATAGTTGCCTATGCGGCCATTCTCATTTTTCTTGCGAATTAGAATGCCACATCCATTAAACAGTAAAATACCTTTCTTTCCTCATCCATCCCCTAATGACCAGATTTGCTCTCTCTCCATAAAGATACTCTTGGCACCTCACCTAGGTGACATTTTGAGAGTATCTGTCTTTTTTAGGGCTTGCTGCCCACCCCCCACCCCCCGGAGCTTACATCATGTCTTCATGCTCCTTCAACTTGGTAACACAGGGCAGGGTTTCCATCCTGATCTCTGCACAGGGCCCCAGTTGTACGTCTGAGCTGCACTTTGTTGCTCCCTTTCCACTGGTGAACATGTGGTTTGCTTCATTTTTAACTGTTGGGAATCATGCTGAGCTTGGGCATGGAGCTATCTATGCCCTGCTTTCAGTTTTGAGTGATGTTGGTTTCCTAAGGGCTTCCTGGGGGTGGGGGTAGAAGACACAGAGTCAACAGCACAGACCCCAGGAGTCAGGTGAAAGGAAAAACAGCAGACTCATTTATTTACCAATGGGTTGAAACTTACACAACCTCTCAGCACCCATGAGTTCTCACCCATTGACACTGCATAGTTGCCCCTATTGGCTAGGCCGCTCTGACAGTGCCTGTTGCTAGGGCCTCAGGCCTCTTTGGCTGGGCAGGATCAGGACCACTGACAGCAACTGTCAGACTCCAGGTTGGCTCAACTCTCACCTTGGTAGGCCTTAACTTCTTACACACACAGACATGCATAGTCATAGGTTCTTTCTTCACACCCAGTGTTTTGAGGCACCACTAGTCTGTTTTTCATACCATTTCATGGTCACATGTTTACTGATATTTTCCTTCAGCTTTTAGACACAATACCCTCCATACTTAGCTCCAGTCTTGTGATTATCTGTCAAAGAAATAATCTAGTTACATTCTTATTGAAATTTAAGCACAAATAGAAGATGATTTGGCAGTTTGATTTGGCAGAAAAAAATGGGTATTAATGTTTGTATGAGCAAGTTCTACAGGTGCTTTCAGAGTAGAATCTCCAACTCCTGTAGATTTTTGGTGCATGTATTTCATAGTTCCTACAGTTTTAAATATAAGCTAGAAACTTTTCAGTTCTTTTCATATGT